GACTCCTGTATTTTACGATTATCTCCTGTTTACTCCTATATTCCCAAATTTCTCCGTATTTGTCGAAGAAATTTAAAAAAAAAAACTTTTGGGCGATCAAATATCCACTGATGGCAAAAATAATTCTTTCATCTCTGAACAGGTTACCAGTGTGAGAATATGGCCAGTGCTGTAGTATGTTGAGTGTTAATAGTTTAAGTAATTATGCATAATGCTTTAAAGAAATTATCTTTAGATTAAGATTTATATGCATATTTTTTACTTCAATGAATGTAAGTGCTTATTGCCTGCTTCTCCTGGTTCAATTCTCCCAGTTTTTGTATTTTTTAGAAAATTCACTAAAATTGATTCAGTTTCCTATGAAATAGAATTTTTGTACAGGCTTGATTTAAATAGGTATTACTTATACACAATGAAGCGAACCTTATTTACAGAAAACAGTTCAAAACCCTTTTATACAGTTCATTTTTATTCAGAACTCTCTTTTGAAATTAATTTAAAATCTTCTCACAATGTTTGATGAATTAAATGCCTATTGATATTTGAAATAAATACATTGAGAATGCAGTTTTAATGCCTTATCAAATAGTTCTATTGATAAAAATATACTTATGTGGCCAATAACTAACTCTCTGAGTTTTAGTCAAGTATTTCTATTTTATGTCGATTTAGGTCTTTCTTTTCGTACCAAAAAAAANAAAAAAAAAAAAAAAAAAAAAAAAAAATCTCAATTCTGAGCAAAATTATGCTAAAAAATTATATTAATTCTATGAAAAATTATTTTACTAGTTGGTATAGTTTGAATCTATATGTCATGTACTTTTTTAATTAATATGAAAAAAAATTGTGCCTGTTAATGTATTGATGTACTAAAACAATTTCCTTTCATTCTACTGTTGAAATATGTTGTAATATTCCTGAATTTTCCCTCTAAGTATTTGACTTTGGAATAAACTTACAAAAATAAATAGTATGCAGAGGAATATTATCATTTGAAATAATAAGAATTATACAAAATTAAATAAGCTTATTTATTCTCAAAAATACAGCTCATTTCTGTTGCTTATGATAACTCAATTTTTAAAAACTATTAGGTTCCAGCTTTAAAAAGCGTGATTTCTGTTGGTGTTGCTTCTTCATAGTTTTATTGTACCATGAGGGTCATCAAGATGGGTCATCTCTCTTTGAAAATAACCATTTAATGTACAGTATATGATGAAATGATATTTTTATTCATTTAGAATGATCTAAAAATTCTAATTCTGCAACTTGAAATTAGAATTGTTATAATTGAAGCACAAAGATCATTACTAGTGTGATGAAACTAAATCACTAAGTAACATTTCTATTTCTATCAATGATTTTTCGACCTCATTAATTTACCTCCGAAGTGTTTAACAAAGATCCTAAAAATTAGTTTAGAAAACACTATACCTTAGATTAGAATTTATAGTCATCTTTTTAGAAAGCAAAATCATTCGTACGGGAAACTGTAAAAAAACGTTTGGTGGAAGACTGCGGTAGACAGTTTCACACCTAAAATACCTAAAAAAAACTAAAAGTGTTTAAAGTAGGGGTGCACAATCTTTTTAAGAGAAGGGCCACTTGGACAGCAGGTTGACCAATTTGCTTGTCCAAGTATTAAACAGATATTATCAATTATAGTATTTTTCATACAGAAACATCAATATACTAGATACTAAATTTTTTTTTATTAGTTAATTCAATAAAATTAAATTATTTTAAACATTAGACATAGAATTATAAATTAAAATTCAACAAATGCAAATCCGATATTTTTTTTAAAATTTCCTTTTCATTAAAAAAAGAGAAAAAATACCGATTAAACAAAATGAAAAAAAAAACACTGGAAAAAAATTCAATTTGCAATTCAAAATTCTCGGATTTTTTTCTAAAAAAAAAAATTTTATTTTTGATATTGTCTTGGGCTGCAGATCAAGAGATAGCGCACCCCTAGTTTAAAGTATTTTTTTAATCTATTTTAAGAAAGGTAATTCTGGGACTTATTGAATAAAATTTTTAATTCATGTTTATTTAACATCCACAAAAGACTGCAGATACATTGGAAAATCAAAATCCATGGATTATCTTGGTTGCCTTTTAGATAAACTTTCTAAAAGATTATGATTTATACTCTGAATTAAGTTATTAAAAGTAAATACATTATTGCAATCATAAAATGACAGTTTATATCATGTTTGTATGACATAGTGCTGGACTTACGCATGCAGATCGTCGGGCTACCGCAGCGGGGGTGCAATCCTCTCTGCAGAGGATCAAAATTGTGATGGCATGTCTTCGGATCATCCTCAGGGATGTTTCCCAGACCGTCGCCAATAGCCCGTTGTGCAGCTCTAGTGTGACGTAAATGAACAACAACAACAACAGTGCTTTTTAAAAAGAAAATTTTCAAATCTATGTGAATGATTTAATAAAGTTGTTACTTTTGTTACGCTGCATAGGTATTTACAGTTGATCATCATGGTTTGCTTTTGTACTTATCCGAATCATACTTTATGAATCACAGTTAAATTATGTGATAATGTAATTTTGTTGAATTCAGAAGGAAATATAATTTATATTCATATGATGTATACATCATATGATCAGTACTATTACTAATTATGAAGAAATGTTATATGGATTTTAAAAAAATATTAAGATGGCAAGTAATTTCCTGTGATATAATTGATTGAAACTCTTAGAGTCATGTCAGATTATCAGAATTATACTTCTTCTTTTCCAACTCAAAAGCCCTGTGAGCTTTCTCTACAATAAAGTTCCATGTTTCTCCAGTTTAATATTTTTTTCTGGTTCTTCCTCAACCTGATCCAGCCATCTTAACTTTGATCTTCCTCCTTTCCTTTCATGATTTTCTAAGGCATGTCTTATCCACTATAATCTTCTAGCTTTGATAAATCATATGATGTTTTTCCTTTTTAATTTTTCCATTAATTGTTACTTTAACTAATGCTTCAAAAATTCTTCTAATTATACTATGTTCAAAATTTCTAATATATGTTCATATTGTTGAAGAAAGCCTAGGTTTCAGACCCATATGTTACTATTGGTCTTATTAGGGTTTTATATATTATACATATTCTCAAAATTAATTTCCGTTTTAGTAATCATTATTTGTAAATATTTCCATTTTGTGTCC